AATCCGACATTTATTGTTGAGGGATGTTGGGTGTGAAACAAATGTGCAATTGGTTAGTTTAGATACAGTATATGTAGAGCAAGAGTACAGAACACTCCTAAACAAGAATTTAGTGCACAGATACCCAGTATCTAGGTAAGAATGAGAAACCAGCAGCTCTAGGCTGTTCATTTATTGCACTCTCTGTTTGCAATTGTAGTATCCTGTTGAAACATTTCATGCATTCACACCATTGCATACCATACCTGGGTATTGCACTGTATAACAGCTGGGCCATAGTAAGGAATAAATAAGAAGTAGCTGCAATACTGTTGACCATTTTCAACAGTGAAAATTATGCTGAGTTTCCATTTTAAATAAACTGGAACTAGATATTCATGTAAAGTGTTATCTTGTTAAAATTGAAGTCAATGGAAAGCACCAGCATAACTGATAAACATGCATTTTCTACAACAACAAAATGTACATTTAGTCAGTTGTTTATGTGGTTCAACATAGTTATAGGACTATTTATAGTTAGATATAGGTGTAGAAATGTGATTGTATTAATAGTTTTAGCTTCTGTCAGCTGTCTGGTGATGGTAGTGTTGCAAGGAAAGGAAAACTTTTTTTCTTGTAATTGTTAGCTTTGTCTCCCAGCACTGCAAAGCACTGGTAAGTGTCTTGACATTCTAGTTAATATATTAATACAGTAGATGTTGGAAGCACCAGATTATGGGATGTTAGCACAGGTCCTAGGAGAGATAGTAGAGTTCTATGCAGAACATCTGAGAGATCCGTAATACTCCGGATTTTAGCTCGTAATAGGTGTACAGTTAACTAGATGTAATGTTGCAGGTTGACCTTGGGCAGCATTCACAAGCATGCCAGGAGAACGGGCAGAAATGTGACACAGCATGCACTGTTTACATTTGCTTTCTTTAGTGAAGGTGCTTATGAAGATCTAATAAATAACTACTATGCTGCATTCATTATTTATTAACATTCAGAAGACAGGTTTCTTATGTGTTGAAAAAAGCATGCTCAGGATTTGTTTAAAAAAACCTATATTGCACTGGATTAAACCTAATAACGGGGATTTCATTGTCTTTAAAACAAGAGCATTAACACAACTAATCAGTTCAGGCAATCTGATCTCAAGTAGTAATCTGAATTTTGTTAGCCTTGATGGCAACCTTAATTGTTGCGATTGCATGGCGATAAGAATGCTTGTGAATGTGTTATAAGGCTGAACAAATTGTTTCAGGTTTTTGTATTCCTTTTAAATCCTTTATCATATGAATGCAACTCACTTTAACCCAAGGTAACCTTAAATTATGAAAGTGATCTTTTGTCCATTAAAAATCAACTAGCAAATTCCTGATTTACCAGAGGCAAGTCTGGAAAGATCCTCCTCTATAAGCACAGTGGGACAGTTACTATAGTGCTATGTCTTGGCACAATACAATTTAAAATTTTAAAAATCCAAACCTTTTGTTCAGCCATTGTTTTTTGTCATTTTTAAAATACAGTATGAGCATTCATAGACCAATTCATATAATTATACTTGGGTTCCCAAAGACTGGTGTTTTATACCTTTTTGCGGTGTCTTGGTGTGAGTTTCATTATCAATAATTTCATTCCTGCATGTTCACCTAGAACATGTTAACTCAGTGGGTGGGAGAAAGTGTTCATTGTGGAAAAGCCCCCTAATATTCCTAAGTCTAATTGAGGAATTTTCACCCAATAGGAACTGTTTAAATGCCCCAACACATCTACAGTATAGGAGGCAGAGAAATTTCAATTAAGAAAAATCATAATAGGCACTCCAGTGACATAAGTCTCTTGATTTTTTTTTTCCAGTGTGTTGTACTTATCAAAAATAATCAGAGATTTTGTATTCAAACAAAATATGAATGATATCATGTATAATATACAGTATATTATCATGTATAATCCTTAAAATAAGATGTGTGTTGAAATTACACACTGGTCTTCACAACATACTGTAATAAAGCAGCATTTTTGCCCTGCCATATCTTTTTACTAGAAGCCTGAAAACGCCAGTTCACAAGCATCCATTACAACTATATAATAGGATAAAGTGAAGATTTAATCTCCTGTGACAGTGCAAGAAAAGTAAATGAATGATTTTAAACCATTGGGAAGGCGTATATATATATATCATATTGTAGCCTAGTAATGTAGCGATAAGTGAAACTAAAATTCCTTGAAATTAAAGAAAAAGCAGTGATACAAGGGCTTTGTCTTTTGCATTATTTGTATTGTAATTTTTGCATGTTTTTTGTTACTAACCTGCCTTTACTAATTTGCCTCATGTTTTTTAGTTTTGAAGGATTCCTTGACCAGTTTTCCCCAGGTTATTACTGTATATACTTCATGGTAGAAACTGAAAGGCTTAAGACCTCTTAGCGTTCTACACAAGTTATTTCACAAAGATGCTTTTTCTCAAACATTATGTGTGAGCTGAGTAATGTCACTTGTACATTACTGTTCCTATATTAAGTCATTTTAAAAATAAGTTTTTTTTTTCTCATCAGAGATTTAATGTATAGAAACCTCAGAGATACTGAGAACTACAGGCAGCTGAACCCACAGATATACCCCTTTCCTGTTCATGTTTGTGTATTGAAGATGTCAGCAGCATATGTTTTATGATCTAGGAACACTACGTCATTAATGAGCTACTAATATTCAGGGTCCCCTGATATGCTCTTTACATAGGACATCCAGGATCTCATAAATTCTTCATCTGCTGCAGAGCAGTGCTTTTTCTCATAATCAACACCTTGCTACACGTTTCTGCCTCCTGGGTTCATTCATTAACAAGATGGTCTGTTTTGGAGAATTAATAGAAGCATTTTTTTTCTCTTTTGAGAGTTTTTAGAATTTAAATCTTTCTGCGTTTTCTTAATAATTTGACCTGTTACATTGTTCAAATCATCTATATTCCCATCTTCCATGTGCGGTATGATTCCACCAAATTTCATGATTTTATGTTAAATTAAGCACAACTGAAAAAATCTTTTTCAAAACCTTTCAGTTGTGCTTTTAATTCTGCCTCCTCATATGAGAACATTTTAATGAGGTTTTGTATTTAAAGCCTTCACTATAACCTTGTTCAAGGTACATGGAAAATAAAGTATTTAAAATCATACTGATTGTAATGTGAGAGCACTAGGTTTATTAATTATGTGGTGTCAAGTCTAAAATGATCTGATCCATTGAGTCCAATTAAAAGACTAGTATACTATGTTTTTGAAAAGACGTAGGCTAATGAAAAGGCTCTTTCAGCTATGCCAAGATGGAAAAGGGTTGCTTTCTGCAGAAAAAATAGACTACAATCTAAATAAGACCTGGCTATCAATCTCTAAAGAACCATCAAAGGTATCGAAAGGTACGGTACTACATCTTTAATCTAGTGTTGTTGAAGTGCCCACTCAGAGGTGAGAAAATTCAGTCTTGATTGAAAATGCAGTTTGAGTTGATGTTCAACAAAGAAAGATTATTTTTCAAAAGTGTTTTGTATGACTTTTCATATGTGAATCTGTTAAAATCTTCTAATGCCATCAAACTAAAGACACATTGGAAGATTTTAGCAACTATTTGTGGTTCACATGCTTCTGAAACTAGGAGAGCACCAGCTTTCCCCACATGGATAACTAGTGTGGTTCTTGTTTGGAACAGCAGTTCAGTTGAACATCCGATTAATTGAAGTAGTTTTATGTCGATCTTACATATATAAGACATATGCTAATGAAAAGCGTATTTTGTTTAGCAAACAAAAGCTGCTCTTTAATTTTAAATTCAATGTAGTTTAATTTTGTTTTATTTAACCTGCTTGGGTTCTTTTTCTTTGATCTCCATTAAAAATAACAATAAAGTGTAATGTCTGGTGTTTTAATCATTTTACAGGTCAGAAACCCATCCATTCATTCTCTAATCAATTCTTCCGATTCAGGGTCGCTGGGGAGTCAGAGTCTATCCCCGCAAGCAATGGGTGCAAGGTAGGATACACCCAGGATGGGACACCAGTCCATTAAAGGACACATGGATACAGACAAGCCCACACTCACACCAGGGCCAATGTTCCCAGAAGCCAATTTAACCAACCAGTTTTTGGATTGTGGGAGAAAAACAAAACATGCAGAGAAAACCCACATAAATGCCGGGAGAGCATACAGACTCCAACCTGATAGCATCCCAGGTCTGGAATTGAACCAGCACTGATCTGGAATAGGGTCCCAGCACTGTGAGGCACAATACTAATCACTGAACCACCAGGCCGAGTCTGTCGGAATCCATCTTTGAAATATAGACTAATATAACAGACTCCAAAGGTCTGTTAGAAATCTAGCTGTCAACACAGCCATCAATAATAAAATTTAAACAGCCCATTAAATGATGTTGTTTCTCAGAAGTTTCGTTCTCATTGGAAATCACCATAAAGTACTGACTGGATTTTTCAATCGGGTGTGTCAAAGCCTAGATTTAATTTGGTCCTCTTTCTCCGTTATATTATGTAGCCTGTCTCTAGTGTAGTATCTTGCAACTTGCAAATTTTTAAATGATTTCCTAGAAAAGTAAGACTTCGGCTACATATAGGACAGTGCAAACTGTGATCCCCGAAAGTTGCCAAAATCTATGGCTTAAGTTGCTTAACTGAACCACTGTTCATTTTAAATACGTAAAAAAGAAAAATAACAACCAAGAAGGCCCTGTAGATTTACAGCCCTGGAAACCAGCAATAGTTTTTTTTTTTAAGAAAGCATTTATTCTTTCCTGATTCTCTTTAGATGGAGAGCTGATTTGTTTTCTAATACATTTATGAAAATGAAGTTTTTTACATGATGGTAAGAGAATAACATTAAGTAGTTCTTAATATTTTGCATGGACAAAAATTAGATGGGAAATATTATATTGCAACTGAGGCTATCAAGAGGTATTAAAAAACAATACAAACTTTGGATTACACCGCTCAGGATTTTTTTTTTTACAATAATACATTATTATAGTTGCATAGGTTAACAAAGCTTGAGCAGATACAGGATCGAAAGACTAGTGTTAAAAATGTACTTGATACTATAAGGAGGCTCAATAATAAAAGAAAAACAAGACTTATAATAGGATTGATTGTTGTTAATTCCTGACCCTCCAGTGATCTCTTAGAATTTAGTCTCTTCTGTCACTTTAATTTTATGTATCAATGTAATGCAGCAGTGCCTGATACAGATTTGTCCTGTGACCTAAGTCAAGCATTAACAGTTTTCTCTCTTCGCTCTCCTGGACATATAGTAAGTATCCATGTGGGTCCTCAGTCAGAAGAGAAAATGTGGAGCAGCCAAGGTTAGAACATGCAAGCTCACAAGCCTGTGCACCATCTGTCATACAAAACCCAGGTCTCCTACAGTGTTTGTACATTTTTCAGTTAAGTGCAGCAGCAAGAATGGCAACAACTGCCACAGATGGTGGGCCTAAAAAACAATTCATACAACTTTTGTATCTCTCAACAGCTAAAGAATAAGACATTTCTTAAAACTTCATTCATCTTCCTCCTTTCAGCAAGTCACTGGTGTGCAGCGACAGAAAGAGGGAGCTTCTCTCACCCAATTGTGAGCTTGTTGGTGATGTTACCTGGGAAAGTGTACACAAGCATGACAAGGAAGGATGTAACAGAAACACCAAGCAGGGAGAAAATTATATACCACTTGTAGTTTCTCCATATGAAGAAATAAAGAGTCTTGAAGGGGTTCACAATCCATGACATTGAAACAGTTGGACGACTGTTGAGAAAAGAAAAATCAAATATTGGTACTGGTCAATTATATAGCTCATAAGTCTTCAAAGCTGATGATAACAGTAGCCATCAGATAAAAACTGTCCCTAACTCTTGAAGGCTGTTTAAAGGAAACTCACTTTGGCTTTTCAAGTGGTTGAGGTTCTTCTCTTCCTTCACCGGCTGGGTGTTTCTCTGCTTCCTCAGAAGTCAGAAGCTCAAACTCGGCTTCCACTTTGCCCTGTGAAAGGGAAGCACTGTAATTGTTAGTGGTTAACAAGAGAGGTCCTATTCAGTTATTGCATTTACATTCTTTAACAAAAGGATGAGCAGAATCAGGACCACTATTAAAAATGATCTCAATCCTATAATGGGTCTCAATTAACTGAAAAGAAAAGCAAGACTAATAATTGGATTGTCATCTATGCCTAACCCTGCAAAAGGACTCTGGACTAGAAGCAATGTGGAGGCAGGTCAGGTGTCTTCATTTAGTACACAAAAGGATATTATGTGTTCTGAATCTCTGGCAAAAGCTTGTAATCCTATTAAATCCAGTCTTTTATCTGCAGTAAAAAGCTTTTGCATTTTTAAATACGATTCACAGTGCATTAAACGTGTTAAAGGTTACCTGTGTTATTTAAAGTGTTGTTGAGTGTGAACACCTCCTTAAGGAATTTCCATTCTGAACACTAAAGCTCCTATTGTATTTCACATATCAATTACGATGCCCGTTTACTGGAAGTCTTCAAGTGTTCCTTAATCCCAGCATTGATTTCTCGGTTTTATTTAACTTTGTGGCAATTGTATTATTGTAAAATCTGGCAAATTTAGGAATCTATTGGTAAATTCCAATTGACTGTGGTGATACAGGTCTTGTTTGAAATGATTACATTCGCTTACTGTAAGCTCCAAGATGTAGGCACTACTTCCTGTTCCTACAGTCACAGTTTCCCTCTCCTTTTCCTTCTTCTTTTTCTTTGTCTTATTGTCATTTTCTTTTTCCTCTTCTTCCTCCTCTGCTTCTTTCACCTTCGTAAACGGCCACCATCCTTTCTCTCTCTTCTTCTTGAAAATGGACGATGTCGGGTACGTGCCCTCTACTGCCATGTTCACAGAACACTGCTTTGCTGTTTTAATACCAGTAACCATTCTGGTCAAGTCAATTTCAATGGCACCTTTGGGGGGGAAAAATGTTTTCAGAGTAAATGTAAGGTCACAGAGTACTGTATATTATATGTAGGAGAGAGCTGACATCTGGGAACATGAGATAAGGTAATAACTGACCATATTCAACTCAATGAGAGAACCTGCTCAAAGTATGTTTTGTTGATCTTAATTTCTTAAAATGCACATTTATTGTGAGGATGTCTTTTACCAAAAAGGCATGCATGGCTCGGTGATCTGCATTATTTAATAGAAAATGTGTTAAAATGATAATGCATTGATTGATGTTGAAAAGAAATGTTAAAATGGAATTCCAATTGCAATTATGATAAATGTTTTACATTAGTTTTCAAATCTGCTCATGTTTGGTAAAGCTGGATTTTTTCAGGAGTCTCTTGCCTGTGTAAAAAAAAAAAGTTATAAGTACAGTATGTTGAAAAGTACAACAAAAATATACTTACAGTACTGTGAAATTACATAGATACATTCTACTCCAGTCAAACTGTTTTTCAATATCTAGTTCAAACATTTTTGACCTGGAGAGCCCTTTTCAATCAACCACTTCCAATGGGACCCCAAGTTTAAACTCAATTGGAAGCATGTGAGTATTAAAAATAATTCAAATAACTATAAAATATAAAAAACACAACTGCAGATCTACATATGCAGTGGACACTTTGTCTCTGTGCTTCTTTTATGGTCAGAAAACTGAATCTGAAGCTAGTGATAACATGACTATGCTCCAAAATAACTAATCTGGTCATGGAGCATGTAGGATCTATCTTGTGTTAATACTCCGCTATTCAATGCTGTGACCCATCATTTGTTAATAAACCTAAGAAACATGAAACAATGGGGCAAAAATCAGTTTAATATATATATAGAAAAAATATAGAAGCAGAGGCTACTATATTACAGTTACAGCTACAGGATGTAGGTTAAGGGGCTATTTAATTGCTGTTCTCAGACCCACATATCTGCCTTATAAGCCTTATAACTGCAAACCCTTCTGTGTCATTTGGAAATGATTTTTTTTTTCCAGATGCCACTAGAAATTAACAAATACTGAGTGGACTGACGTTTCTGGGTCACGTTGCACTTCATCCTCATATCGATGCCATTGGAGGTTAGGAAAGTCTTCAAAGTAATTTCTTCACGCTAGGAGACACTAAGCTAAATATAGAAATCTGCTGCTTATTAGAACATACTTGTAGTTAAAATCCATATATTACAAAGATACAAAAAAAACCCTCACAGGGGATCATTTTCTAATGAATGCCAAAGTAGTGAAAAACAAAGGGAAAAGCCAAATGGAAATCAGTCTTTTCTTTTAAGCTGAAATGTTTTGAGCTTGAAAGTAGTTTACGTTGGGGTTTAGCTGTTGTTAGGAGACTAGGGGTGCAGACAGGGCTGCCGGTTTTGATTTTGGTCTGGGGGAGTGAATGGGCCAGACTTTCACCGGCACAAAAAAAAAAAAACTGTGTGGCTGGGTATGAGTTGCTTGCTCTGCATTTCAGGGTTATCTTATGATTTCTGTGAAAACACAGGGAACTTGCCCCTTGACACATCTTTCTGAGAAATGTCGACATCGCTCCATCAGAATTGCAGAGGGTTTCAGCACACAAGGATTCTATGGTACGGTTTAGGCCTCTATGGAACACTCAAATGGTTCCCTGCAACAACTTCTTACAATGCTCTTTGAGAGCCTTTTTAAATTGAATAGATCATTTAGATATCAGGAACTACTGTATATCATCCTGCAACTCACAACTGACAACCCACTGGAGTTCAGTGGGTGTGAGCCTGGTCGGTACCTGGATGGGAGACCTCCTGGAAAAGATAAGGTTGCTGCTGGAAGAGGTGTTAGTGGGGCCAGGTGGGGGCACTCACCCTGCTGTCTGTGAGGGTCCTAATTCCTCTGTATAGTGACGGGGACCCAATACTGTAAAAAAGGCCCCGTCCTTTGGATGAGTTGTAAAACTGAGTTCCTGACTTTCTGCTGAAATTAAAAATCCCAGAGTATTTCTCGAAAAGACTTAGGGTGCTACCCCAGTGTCCTGACCATATTTCCCCCTGGCTTTTACTAATCATGGCCTTCTAATCATCACCATCTATGACCTGGTTTCATCACTCTAGTTCTCCTACTCACTGACAGCTAATGTGTGGTGAGTGTACTGGCGAACTTTGGCTGCCGTCCAGGTGGGGGGTGTACACATTTGTCCTCATTGCTTATAAAGAGCTTTGAGTGGAATGTCCAGAAAAGCTCTCTATATATGTAAGGATATTATTATTATTATTATTATTATTATTATTATTATTATTATTATTATTATAATAAATGAAAAACTATAAATAATCTGTTCTCATAACAGATACTTTCCAGTTGGCAGGATTCAAATACTTAAAGTTATGCTTATTCCTTCAGTTAACATACTTATACTTATTCTTTATTCTTAACTAACTTTATTCCCAGAACGTTGCCTCAGTGATTAAAGATGCTAGCATTTTCCAGGTTTGCAGTAATGAGGGAATTAATGTACCAAAAATCATATGATTTAACTGACACAGTGGATTACAGTATCTCTAGGTTAATTTCACATACTTCACTTCTATAGACCAGGAAACATTTATCTTAGGTCACATGTCAAATACATTTGGTGGCTGCAGCCCAACCAACAGAAAACATTATCCCTTATCTCAAAGGTACTGTACCAGAGAAAAATATTCGTCCTTCCTTAATTGGGGTCAAAGAAACAACTGCAGAGAGGCTTAGATTGTGGCTGCAAAGCTTTTAAATTACTCTTTGGAGCTGACAGCTCTATTATTAGCTCTACCATGAAATCAGCAAGGATGCAAAATGAAGCACATGGAGAAAAAGTCAAATTTTTTAGATCGTGGTCATCTGTACTGAAAGCTAGTAGTGAGCAATACTGTATATGTACGTTGTCTTATTTTATATTGAACTGGCCAGCACTGAAAGGTCAGTAAGGGCACCTGAATGAAGCACAGATTATAATCAAAGATGCGGCCCGCAGCAGTATGTTGCGGTGACAATCTGCCAGTCTGTTCATCATCATTTTCAATGTCCTCAAGCAGGCTTGCCACAAGTAATCTAATGTGAAAATGCAGTCCTCTGAAGTATTGTTTTCAGTATGTTTTTACTGCATATAATTAGCATAGCATTATAAGTAAGAAAAGTGCTATTTCAATTTGTAAAGGAATTTATAGTCTATAAACAAATGTGTTCTTACATTCTGAATATCTATTCTGTGGAACTATGAGAAATGCCCTTGAATGTTTAAATACCACGGAGAGTCAGGACCTCTGTTTTACATCTCATTTGAAGGACTTGGCCTTTTTTGCAGTGTAGTGTTTATACAGTATAAGGCTTACCAAGGAAATCATTGGCAGAGACCAAGTCATAGTCCCACACTTGCAGGATGAGGATAGGTGCTACACGGTATTCAGACTCTTCCAGTGAGAACAAGGACTCCTTCTTCTTGTAGACAATCTGCTTTTCTGAGGGCAGGAAATCAAACCGGAAGATGAACCTCCAGTTGAAGTTACCTTCCCCAGTGAATGAGTTAAAATGGACATCAGTTTCCTGCTTGGTATGGTCCATTGTTTTAATCCAGCTGTGGGATACAAAGCAAATAAAACTTTCAGACTGCTTACTGAATAGCTGAAAAATATTAGATCTGGTAATTATCTAAATACAATTCATTGTATTAAAATACTGAAATAAAAAATTCTTCAAATTCCTTTCAAAAGTATATTTTAAAAAGCAGACAAAAGACAGCGTTTTGATCCACAAATTATTGCTGACTAGGTAAATTGTAGATATCTGACTAGATAAAAACATGATTGTGATACAGAAATGTAATACTAAGGGTCCCTGGCATAAAAATGTAAAAAACTGACATCTGTGATAATAAGGATTCAAAAGAAGATGAAGAAAACAGTTTCTTTATTCTTTTGATTTTCAGAATGTCTTCCCTTAGCTTTTCATTTTTAACCACATGCCATGTAAAATGTGCAACAATAAATGAAATATTATATGGTCTACTATGAAAATGTCATAAATGTTTAAGAAAATAGAAGTAAACTAGTAGATTCATAAATCTACAAAATCTGACATGTTTCAGTTCACCTGCCAGATTTTACAGTGCAAAGGAGCTTTTTAATCGTATACTGACACCAAGATTATTGCATCCCAAATTGTAATTAATTTCTTACCCTTTCACATAAATGTCACTGGATTTGGTTCCAGTGACTGGATTCACATCATCAAGTATGACATCGTCTGTGTTCCAAATAATGACTCGAAGTTCATAACTGCACAGGGGAGATAACAAGAAGACATTCATATGCAGAGGGAGGCTGGTGGGAGCCAGCTAACTTCTGTAGGCAAAGCAAGTCTCTTTCTTGTAAAAGACGTGGGCTCAGAAATGTACTTCTGTACGGAAGCCATAGGAGAATCAATTGGAAAGCAAATACTTGTCTTACTAGTTTAACAACAGTGTTTTCATCATGAAGTCTGGTAACAGTTGTCTAGACCCAAGCAGCCTCCATTTAGGCAAAGACTTTCTAATGTCAGTCTTGCTTAGAATCGTTATATTGCTTCAGCTGTTTGTTCATTTATCTTGTGGCTTTTGTCTGAAAATGTATTTTTAAGGCTAAACAAGTGATTTAGCTTTTAGGTCCTTTAGAGTATTTAAATTGCTCACTGAACACGTGTAATGTTTTGAGGCCACACCAACAATAAATGTTTATCACATTATTTTAATTAAATCACAGGTTTCCACAACACGAAGGATTAAGTACAGTTGCACCTGAACTTAATTACTATGAGGCTAATAAATTCATGAACTGTTAGAGCTCAGTTGAGACTGCTTCTCATGTAACGTCACTTTAGTAAATACTAAGAACCTACCTCTGTGGTTTCCGTGGAGACACATTCACTGGTGGTGGCGTGGGTAATTCTTTAGGGAACAAGTCTACCCACATTTGAACTTTGCCCTTCAAGAGATGTAAAAAATCTGCTTTTAAATGAACTCAAAGATCTTTTAATATTTTGGCCAGAAAGTGGGAGAGAAATGAATGCACCCTATTGCAAAACACAGTCAATAAACATATAAAGTTTATTATACCATTGTGCTTGACATGCATACATGACATGCAACTTAGAATGTATTTGTTTTCAATACAAAGGTATGTATATTAATTTTGTGCTTACTTCCAGTCAGTGTACTTACAATACACAGTACTTTATCTTAGAAAATGTAATTCAAGGACATCTGGACTTGGTGGTCAACAGCTTCCTGTCACATATTGGTACAAATGTTGAATTCACTGCAATATAATTTTATCTGCTTTAAATGGTCAGAATTGTATGGCAAAAACTATAACTTATATGAAATGTATCTATAAACATATAACATATGTATGAATTTATATGTATTTACATATGTGTAGCCTTCAGCCTGAAAGACATTATTCAGTTTGGAAAAGTGATTGAATTACATTGTTCCTTGATGGGACTGCTTTTGCAATAGTGTTACAGTATAATACATACTGTGGTGATATCTGCTTTCCTCTTAAGTGGTCAATGTATAGTTCTTATTTCATGTTTTGAAGAGATAAAAAGAGGTCAGAATATAATCAAATCTTAATGAAGAGCTGGAAGTCCCAAACATTCTTGTGAATCCATCTGTTTTTGCAGTATATGTGTACCCTGAAAAACAGGCAAAAAACCTTACACTTTTTTATGTGGATCTCACCTGCTCCATTCCTGGTTTTTCAACACTGAAGAGTGATCTAGTTTCCACGTGCTCAGGAACCAGCTCAATGCCAGCTATTGGCATGTCAGCCCAGTTATGTAGAACATGCAAGGCTGCATTTTCTTCTTGTTCTTCTGTAGTTTTTCCTGTGTCCACAACAAAACAATAATTCTGGCTCTTATTCAAAACATCTGTTATGTTATAGGGTAAAAAAAAACGCCTTCAATTTTTGTTTTCTTAAGTCTTTTTATGACCTTGAATTCACACTTTGCGGTGAAATAATGGATGTGAATTTGTGACTGTGCTCAGCATATTATTCTCGGTAAAAGCCACAGACATCACAGGTGGAGAGCACGACTGCTTTTGCTGGCTAAAATGAGTCATTATGAGGACCATAAAAAAACTGGAAACAAAAACTATAGGAGGTCACACTTAATCCTGAGACAAAGAAAAAAAGTATTTCAGGAGCAATGGAAGAAATCAAGAGATTAAAGAAACAGAATTAAAATGGAAAATAATTGTGATCATCAAAATGCTAAACAAAAATAACTGGGATCTGGAAGTATAAATATTACTAAAAATACATCAAATACAATTTATTTAGAGAGCTTTTAAATAACAAGGATTATTTACTGAAACTGTCTAAAACTTCAGCACTTAACTAAAAAGGCACTGGCATAATCTTACATAAAGAAGACATAAAAAATGTTGGCACTTTTGGTCCTAAACCTGGATTAAAACATTGAACATCTAAGGTTAACTGTTAAGATTCTATTGTGGCAAAAGACTTGGAAATAGAAGAGTACCAAGTTGCAGTATGTCGTCAGGTACTTCAAATACTTTTGCTTCAATCTTCACTTCTTTTGCAGCAATGTCATAAACAGGCTCTGGAAGGCCAGACTCTTTGCAAAGCTTGGTGAGAATCTGAGTAGGCTTTCTAGCATCTCGCCAGCTGTTGTACCCTGACCTTTGAATGTAGGAAAGCACAGAAAACATTGTTAATTGACAAATACATTAATATTTTTCACGGCAACATTTGTGTATTGTGAAGCATTGTCATTAATCTAAAAACTGTATGTGTTTTCTATCTGCTGATATTTTCACTGCAGTAAGGCTTTTGCTGAGGCTGTTACTTCACAAAATGTGTGTATTGTGAAGCATTGTCATTAATCTAAATACTGTATGTGTTTTCTATCTGCTGTTATTTTCACTGCAGTAAGGCTTTTGCTGAGGCTGTTACTTCACAACACACTAACCTAGGTTCCTCAGTCAGATAATGAACACGCTATGAGGTATTAATGAAGAAGATAAAATGTTTTGAGTCCATTTTTTTTCAGTTAGGACTCCAAATCTAACAGTACTATAGCAAAACAAGGATCAAAGTCTGTTTTTGAGACAAAAAAGCAGTGATAGAATGAGCAGTGATAAAAATACATTAATCTACTTCCTTAGAAACCATACAGTTGCTAGTAAAGCTTTTTAATTCTACAGGCATAGCCACTGCATAAGTACAGCATAAGTAGATGCTTATGCATTACTAGTAAATTCTCAATCAGAACTTTCTTGTCCATTATCATGTCTAACATTTCTGTTTTTGTGATTTGGTCTTTTTTGACAGAAAGATAAAAAAATCTTTTTTTAGAAAGGCAAATAACCAGCTGTACATCAGGCAGGTACAATTGGAATGAAAAAAGAGCCATATGTTTTTAACAATGGGTCAATGTAAAAATCTTTATGTAAACACAGTAATGAAATTAAGGTGAGTACAGATTCCAAGGTGAACACAAATGCATGAACTAGCAATCAAAGTCAAATGAGACTGTAGACAGCAGTTACAGTACCTGACATCAAAGCAAGACAACACATTTTGGCATCATGAATGAAACTAAACAGGGGTACCCACGTGTTATAGGTCCGTTGAAGCCCACAACAAGCATAATGCCTGCTGTAATAGCGATTTTCAAGGTCGATCTTTGTTTCTCCAATTAAATCGTCACTGCCCACTAGGTCATGGTCGAGGATTTGTATCATTAGCTCAGTCTCTAAAGGGAAGTGTGCAATGAGCTCAAAGAACCTGCAGGCAAAGCCAGAACTTTCATCAGCAGTGAAGGGAAAGATATACAGCAGCTCCTGTGTTCTTTATCTAGTTCAAGCAGAAAGAAAGCAGAAACTAGCAGGCATGCCAGTGACAAAAAAAGAATAGCTATATTGAAAAATAAACCTTCAGAAAATTTTCTCTAAGGCACTATCCACTAAGATTTGAGAAATATTTTGTATTCTCTCTGCTAATTGACTCAAATTCTATTTTGCTGTGACAGCTTGTAACTCTATCCTTGTCATTCCACTCATTAGTTTGCTTTTGCCAGCTCGTTTGCTGTCTGAGGTACCAGCCCTTTCGGCTTTCGAATAATCGAGATAATTGTGTTGGCTTCTCATCTACAGCAATCCAGTAATGCATTGCTAACAGAAATTTAATCTGGAGTAACAATGTCCAAAAGCTCAATGTAATGAAAATGCTTGGTGAGTGCTTAGTCATGGTAAAATTTGGCTTGACCGATTTAACTGAAGACAGCCCCTCCTGGCCGTAGGACTAGGAGGCTGAGACTGACATGCAGAGGGAGGAGGGAACCAGCTATGAGAAAGTTGCATATGGAGTGAAGGAGGGATGGAAAAGACAGATGGATATGAAAAAGGGGTTACATGTGGTATTTATTTTAATTAAGAAAATGACTTCAGGAAAGGTTACACGTTAGGACAGCTGAGGTGAGAGGGACTGGGCTGCCCTCACCCTACCAAAACTTTCCTTGTAAACTCTATTTAAAAACTAATTTGAAAATTATGCTTTTATTTAAAATGCAACTGTGTGTCAATAAGTATTTCTGTTTCTCAAAAGTGAATTTAACGGAAATTAATTCATGGTGTGGTTTAAATGTTGCATTCCTTCACAAAGTAACACGTTACAGTACTTGAAATGTAAAATGCTGTCTTGAAATTTGAAATGTGCGTCTGCCTTACTGCCTGTTAAAGAATATATTTTTCTCTTAAAATCTAGTGAAAGAAATGAACAGAGAGAATTCATGTTACATTGTATTGCTTATGGAAATACTAATATTACACACTATATACTTGCAATCTCAGCACTTGCTTTTCTAATAAACTAGGTTGAATCAAACTTTGTTTTAGTGTGTGGTTGTGTCTTCATTACTGAACGAGAAGGATACGTACTCTCCAAATACAGGGTTCAGCTGCTTTGGTATATACCGGTCCTTAGATGACAACTCCACATTTCCTAGTTTAACAAGTAAATACGGATCGGCTTTCCCATTCGGATCTGCTGGGGTCAGGTTAGTGGCCTTGAGTAGCACAGGAAAAAGCAAGGTAAGAGTAATGGAATTGAAACAGATATTTAACCATTTTTAAAGAAAAAAATAATGGTAAGTGAATGGTTAATCTTACAGCAAGTATTTAAAAATATTTAATTAAAAAAAATTAGCTTTTATCTGAGCAGGTTTTCCTTAATGAAATATAATGTACTAGAACTAAAAACCGTTGCCAAATAAATGTAATGAATATTTTAAAAACAAAACATGAAATAACATTAGGGAAAAAGCAGAAACATCAAATATCATTCACATGAATAAAACCAAGTAAAACCATTAAATTAATTCAAAGGTCAAACTTAAAAAAATATATCCCAATTAATTTGGGGGTATGAGATATGGGATGTGCAGAACATGGTAATAATTTAAGTGAAATTGTAAATAAATACATTATGAAAGAATGTGTGCTTATGAATTGAATGATTTATAAGCAAAAGCTTATAATGATTTCAGAGGAGAAAAAGGTTTCAGAGGAGAAAACCCTAGCTTTAGAGTCACATACTGTACCTTACAGGAAAATTATCACCAGATGTCCAACAGTATTAAAATTAATAAAAGTGGCTTGTGTAGTGACAGCATGAATTGAGGGAGATGTTATATTTTGCTTATATTTGTATTATTTACAGAATATTTTTGAAATTGTGTGTTAAGGCTTTATTGTTTGTTTAATTTGTTATTCTTTCTGCTTAGATTATAAATCTGCATGCCATTATGAAGATTATAATTCTGCATGCCAATTAAGTGTTTAGCAAACTATTGCTCTGAAGAACCTGAATCTTCTTACCAGAAGACAACGTTTATAAAAGCAAAAAAATTAATAGTCTCCACTCTTTATCTTCTTTTTCATAGAGTACAATCTTCCCAGGGGGATTTTATTACAGAATACTTTGGATAAAAGACAGCTATTTAAACACTTAAAAGTGCAGGGTTCAAGTGAACAATGCTGTTCACATCCAGTATGAAATACTCCTTTAAACTCTGAGTGGGGATATACTGTAATTCGCGATCAAGGGAAACAGTCTTACCAGTATTACATACACTCTGACAGTTACTTGAATGGGAGTGTTAGGAGGCATTCCCTCAGAGATACGGAATGTGTTTTCCTGAGCCTCTTTCTCTGGGTAGATGCAAAAGGACCCCTGAAACACAGCATGAAAATCTGAAATTTTTATCTATTTAGATGCAAACAGTTCCTACCTTGACAGATGCACTCAAACACGTCTGTGAAATAATACTGTATTTCAGTAGTAAATCATTGAATTTTCAGCCAAAACAGCACAATGGAGTGTTTAATAGAGTCAGTATGATATTAATTGTAGCCATGCTTAATGGATCTGCACTGTTTGCTTAAAAAATGGGTGAACAAAATTATAATGTATTAAAATATTGCATGTAAAGCACTTAGACATTTGCATATTTTCTTTCTGCTTTTTGCTAATCAGCAGGACAAAGTATAGATTATGTTTATTAAATTATGTTGCAGTTTTCCTAGAATTTACCTTGAGCTTTCCAGTGGTTCTGTCTTCCTCATCCTCATAGTCATCTCTGCTTTTGCCTTTGTAGAGTGTAAAGGTACACAGCCAGTCTTCAAAGTTGTTGAACTCCTTCTCAAGATCACCGTGAAAAATCTGTGAATAATTACACAGTTTACTTTTTATTTGTGTTTTGGAAGATATGGCAAAATAATAATTTCAGACATACTAATGTGGGGGCTGAAAAACACTGAATGAGCATTGAGACCGTATCTTATCTAACAAAGCCTGTAATATAGCTTTGGATTTATGTACTGTAGCGGAATTACTGTAGATTACAAATAATTTCACTAGACAAACACATGGTTATTAACCAGTTCATTTGATTTGGATCCCTCTTATGTTCACATTGGAATTGCTTGCAGTTTAAAATATCAAGGAATATTCTCCTGACCAACCTTACATTTGTGAATTTTGGGAAATAAATGATTACGTTTTTCAGCAAGAACAACAGGATTTAATGTATGCCTTAACAAGCACAGTACAATATATTTAGAAACAGGGGATGTGGCTAACATAACTAATGACCAAATATCTTCACATTTGTAGTTTCACATTTCCATTTGAAATAAGCAACCAAGAAACATAATTAAATTACTTCAAAATTATTTAATGTCTTCCTTAAACAAGCAATAAACAGACCATCTGAGAGGATCTTATTAGTGGAGATGACTAGATTTTTGAGAATTCTGCCCATGAAATAAATTCAGTTATTATTATGATTATTATTATGATTATTATTATTGTTAATAATAATAATAATAATAATAGTAATAGTAATAATAATGTATCAGGAAACATTTTTAAAAAGCAAAGAAACTAAGTTGTCTTACATTGAAAACAACTAGAATATGTTTTTAGTTTTCCTAAAGTTCTGGAATGGAAACTCTGAAGATACACGTCAGTATTCTCAAATGATTTTGGATAATCAGCTTTAAACATTAATTAAATGCATTCTTCAACATTGATCACCTCTTTCAAAACCTACGGTATGTACTCATTAGATCTTATATAAATTAGTTTTCATTTTTCAGATTAATGCATATTTAAACGTCAGAAAAGGGATACCCAGTCAGATTTTTCAAACACAAGGGACCTTTTAGAAATGGCTGAAATTCTTCCTCAGCTCACTAATCTACCAACAGAGCTAATAGGATATTCCTGAATGACCTTGTATTATTTGCATTCTTTCGTGTATTGCTATGCAAAGAATATAAACTCTTTAATCTGTCCTCAATTAATTTCTCTTAAATTATACAACAGAAAGTTGTACAAATCAATTCAATAAAGTAGATCAGAAAATGCTGTTGATGTACACTTTAAAATAGTAGAGTGACCCTAAAAAACAATCCAAACAAAAGTCAAAGATGAAAAGTGATGAGAGTCATAGCAACCACAGAATGCAAGTCCGGCCTACATGCACATGACTGCTCTTGCCCTGGACCAGTTCATTACAGGGTCACAAAGATGTGGATAGTTTGAAATAACTATCAAATATGGCCAGGAAAGGTGGAGGAAACCACAGTTCTGGAAAAAAAATCAGTGTGACCATAAGGAGGACACCTAAAACCCACACAGATACCAGAAATCAGAGTCTAGGGTGCGAGGCAACAGCTCTAACTCCCACACCACTGTGTTGTTATCAAACTTAAACTAGCCTCTAAAATGTCAGACTGTGGCATTATGTCATATACAGTACTGCATATTTTAAAGGAAAAATAAACCCAAGCTTGAAAAACTTAATCATAAATTATTGAAACAAAAACATGAAAATAAGACCACAATTCCCAATGCTCCTGTTTTGTACTTTAATTAGAACAACTGCATATTGAGCAGTATACTCTCTCTTGAACCCTTTTGGATATCAAAACAAAGCGGTTTCTGAGGATGCAGACTTTATATATAAATACATTGTAACAAAAACACCATGTACCTTTAATGGGACAATCAAGAATGGTGTCATTTTTGCAGTTGTAGAGTTTGCGTTTAAGCCCAGTTGATATTCATTCCAGGATTTATCTGTTGAACAAATATTAAACAGACATTACTGTGGCAAGAATATTTTAAGAATAGTAGTCCTGGAAATAGTCTAATCTGAAAATCTATTGACAGAATATAAAAATCAATCTTTTCTTATCAAAGAGGATATAAACCTCAGCAATAGAATTTTCACAATGGTCACAGGAGGGTTCATTTTGAATGCACTTTAAACAGTATTACAATGTATATCAGTGGCAGGTACAGATATTTAAAAAAACATTTCACAATTGCACTGTGCCAGTCTACAGTGAAGTTTGCAATGGATTATTAAAGCAGAAAGGTTAAGGTTACATTTTACCTATTACCCTGCTGTGTCTCTGCTCATCCAAAAGAGGAGTTTCACCATTCTAAACAAGATAAGGAACAGGAATAAAAAATGTTATTACCAGATGTAACACTTAAAAAATGAAATCTGCAATTCAAAAATCAAATCAGTTTTACAGTTTCCACCTCTGTACCAGTAAGGAAGGATGAGAATCCTGCTTGCTTTCTTCAGAAAAGTGCCTTTACTACTAAAGCTGTCCACCAGTTTTCATGCAACAAGTTCCATGGCACCCACAGGAGAGATAATATCAATGGGAGGAGAAGGGTACATCTCAAACTCACATGCCCAGGGGTGCACAGTTAATTTTTCAATCTCTTTTAAAGAATTCTGGTTAGAGCTGTCCAAAGATATAGCTCAAATTTAAAACTGCAACATCGGAACTATAGGAATGAGCCTACATTCCAGGAGAGCACACTGATTAGGTGAGTCACTCTGAAGCACCTTAAAAAAAAGTAAGATGATGAGAAATTATCCCTTTTAAATTTATTAATTCATTTAACTTTAAACTTGTTGTTGAACTCAGAATACAGAGAGGTTACTACAGTATGTCTCAAAATGTCTTCATACTGTCATGAATTTAAGAGAATCCAGCCCAGGTGACTTCCTACATCCATCTCGAAAGAGAACAAACAGCATAAGTCATCTTGTGTTGCTGCTCGTTTGTCCTTATTGATAATGTACAGTAACTATTGATGGTAGCAAAATCAATCTTGAAGTTTAAAGAAACAATCTGTTTATATAGTACTTAATCAATTGTCTTTGACCTTTTGCTTATGTTTGAACACTGTACACAGTAGCTTTTGAGTGGTGCTTTTGCGACCATCGCGGTTCCACCCCGCCAGTTCGTCCCGCAACAGCTGGGGCCCGAACCCGGGTCCCTGCTATGCGCAGGGAGGGCGATGATGTCACCGTGTCCAAACAAGCTCCACTACACTTTACTATGCAGTATGACAATGACCTAAACGTATACTATAGCCAACACAACCAAGGAGTACATCAGGAGAAAAAAGTGAAAAACTGCGGACAAGTTAGTCTTCACGTGTACTGTACAATTCAGCAGCATTTTCTATGCTAAAGAAAAAAAAGTCAGAAAACTCCAATATTAGGCAAGATTCTGGCTATTGTGGCTACAACAAAGCATCTCAAATGACACAGTGTGGTGAGGTCACTGGGTAATAGACTTCATGTAGTTATTATCTCAAATAGATATTCAACCAAATCCTGACATTTTCACACTGACATTTAAAGTGAAAGTGTCCAAGGTATGTTTTTGTTCTAATGTGATATATGCATAGACATATTAAAAAAGACATATATTGAAGGTTTTAGTCTTATTAATCCCATGATCACAAATATCAATTGATTTCACTTTGATGTCCCAATTCTTTTGAAGGGCACTGTAAATGCTAAAAGAAAATGGTGTATGCTGGCTTCTCCTGTGACTACCCAAAACGTTATGGTAACTACAGTAGATGTAGTATGCATTGCTTCCAGGCCTTATTCAATACATATGCAGGAACCAATATATCATGAAATTCACCTTTCCCTGTTTTCTCTCTTTATATTGTCAATCTCAGTTTCAAATCTTATTGATCCTGGAGGCTTGTGAGTTATTGACATCCTTCCACGTATAAACATATCAACAATTCAAGGGTGAAATTGACAAAGCAAACCAAGCAATAGGGTGTATGTGAAATACAGAATAAGAAATTTAAATTTGTAGCTGCCAGTATGCTGGATAGAATACATTTCTAAAAAAACTATTTATAAATCACATCCTGCATTTTCATGCACATATTATAGTATTTTTTCCTCTTCTGAACCTAGAATGGAATGAGTACAAGAATAAAAGACTAATTCAATGCTTCCTGAAACAAAAATTTGTATGTCTTACACAAAAACACAATAAATCAAAATAATATAGTAATGTTAATGTGATCTATTGTGCTGCATTTTTTATTAACGCTTTTTCTAATATCCATATTTAAAATTCCTTTTCTTAAACAAAGATAGCCCTGCAGTTTTAATGGTACTTCATGTAAAACACACAAATTTATAGATAATTGTTCTGGGAATGTTATTACATGCATGATTACTGAGAAATATTGGTCACAATTGGTTACTTTTTTAAGCTACGTTTTAATTTTATAGATAGAAATTTGATATTAAACATATAAACATCCTTAATAAAATACGTAAAGGGAAATATAAACTCACCAATTCTTTGGAAACATAAAATTTAGACCACCAGTCCAGCTCACTTTCATCTTCCTCATTGCTTGCTGAGGTTTCCTGATTAATAACCAGTTTTGGAGGGTTGTCCTAAAAATGAGGAAGGTTGTCAAAATTTAACACAGGAGTGAAGGTAATAAATCAATATTGTGGCAGCAATGAAACGAAAATTGAATAATTTCTCTGTTTATAAAATAAAAGTATTTTTATAAAATAAAAAGAGGCTTTCAGACCAGAGTAACAGCTGCAGAAAGGACTGCTGAAATCTCATAAGAAAGGTTGTAAAGGAGAGGACGTCATTCAGCCAATCTTGTTTGTTTGGAAGGAGGTTAGTGAACTAACATTTTCATCAAACTACTTTTTCAGAGAGCCTATAATTTGGATCTCAACCACCAGGCTGGGAGCTAGTACCTGATATCCACAACTTTTAGTTTCCAGTTGTCACAATGCATCATTTGTACACTATTGACTGTCAATTAGTCCCATAGTTTGAATTTACCCATAACTATTACATTACAATTTTCTATACTTGGACCAAAACTCCTCTCAATCATTGTTGTCTTAGACTGATGTGATTTACTGTAGCACCCTTAACCTCTCAATACACAACAGTCCTCTGGGACCAGGTGTCATTCATTCTTGTTGATCATGTTTGAACTCTAAGCCTATAATAGTTTTGTGGAAGTATGACAGGGAAAATATTGTCATGGTGATTTATTGGTTTGTAACCATCCCAGTAGAACCTCAGTGTCAGTTCTAATAAAATTACCCAATGCTGTAGATCATTATTTTATATAGGGCATGTTATTGGCATTGGCTACTGTATAAACCCATATTAAAGTCTTCCAAAAGAAATATTTACAGAAACCCAACCTATAACAAAAATAATGGACTGAAAAATTAAGATCAAACAGAATGCTGTCTCGAGTAGGTTCATTACACTATTGAAGTGTCATCCAGCACTTCAAAAAATAGACTGCTTTATGCTTTGGAAAGTTAAATCTTTGTTAGTCATCTTAGCAGACCAAAACAATTGTTTAATTTCAAAATATGTCAAGTGGCAGTATAAAAAAGTGTGAAGTAAAAAATACACTTACAGAAAGATTTTCTTTTTTGTTTTCTTTTCTGAAGTGAAACATTTCCTTTGTCTTCCTCACTAAATAATGACCTTTGCCACTTGTCTCACTCTCACCTATGAGAAAGCAAAATTGTAAAAGCTTGTTTCCCAAAAGCAATTAAATCTGACTCCTTAACTTTTACTTTTCTGACATTTTGTACTAGAAGTATAGCACATTTAAAATAAGAAAAATGAGCTACAGTACAACTGCTCGCAGAAAAATAGAATGAACAAATTTCAGCATAAAGAAACCATTACTCTTGTTTTAATTAATACATCCCTTGGCCAGGGGAAGCATTTACCTAATGTTCGTGATTTTTAAATGTCACTGTTAAATCAGCTCATGTTTTAGAGTGTACAATATGTAGCTACCAGTAGTAGACACTTAGTCATTGATTGTTTAGCAAAAAGACCCCAAAGCAAAAAAATATATATTTTCCAAACCATTTTTTTTTACTATTAAACTGTATATACAGTTTATATTGCAACACAAATGCAGAGCGTTAAACTTGGTCTGGCCACAAAATATTGTATATCCCATTTTACTTGCCTTTCATGTTTAGCATTAAATGATTTTCAAATTACCTTCTTCATTTTTACTTTCTGGGAGTTGTTCAGTTGAAAAGGACTGCACCTGTTGATAACCTAGGTATAGCATGACAGAAAACAGTGTAGAAATGAGAAACTAATAAAATAAATAATTTAATTCTGTTTCACATTTTTTTTCTCAGACTATGCATAGTTCTTGCTGGTGAGTGAAAAGTTAAATATTTGACTTAGTAAAAATTCTCATCAGCTATACAGCACCTCAGTTCCTGGCTCCAGATTGTCTGTAAAGATTTTTGGAAGTCTACCTCATGCCTAGATGAGAAAGTGTAAAACTTGGACCGGTATAAAGAAAAACAGTACAGTTTGTTACATAGAGCATATATACAGTGCCTTGCGAAAGTATTCGGCCCCCTTGAACTTTTCAACCTTTTGCCACATTTCAGGCTTCAAACATAAAGATATA